TCCTTCTGCAGGTGGACTGCCTGCCAACTGCATAACAATTCTCCTTTCTCTGAAAAGGAGAATTGGTGTTGGCTAGTTCTTCTTTGAACTCCTGCATCCACCTGCCCAGAATCATGGTTAACTGACCAGGGTTAAATATTTGATCATAGCTGGGCCAAATTCCCATCTTTAAGACTGAGAGACTGAGGGCCAGTGTATGTGGCAGAGCCCAGGTCATATAAACACAAGAGCTGTTAAGAAGTCATCTTGTGAAAGCCAGTCATCCAAGATTAAAAAGCTGAAGCCACTACCTGGAGAAGAGGAGACAGAATTTTGAGAGGGAATCCCAAAGGGTTCCAACTCGTTCCTCAGTCTTAGTTGCACTTCTGCAGTCAAGTTAATGAGACCCCCTCACATCTTATAATAAATTCCCTTTAGTGTTAAAGTTGATTCAAGCTGGTTTCACTTATTTGGGCCTAAAACTCCTCTACATGATATAAAACATTCATATTTCCTATTTCAATGAAGAAATTTTTACTAGGCAGAAAATATATAAGAAGGAACAATTAAATTTACTTTAAAACTATAAACATGGCTAGGGATTTGCTCAGTAGTAGAGCAATTGCCTAGCATGCACCAGGCCCTACGTTTGACTCCCCAGCACCATGAAAAATATAAACAAATCATTTGGGAATCTTACAATATTAAAAATAAGTTTGTAGGATTGGTAGATAATGCTGAGAAGCTCTATGGATTGTTAAGATGAAGTAGGAGCATGAAGAGAGAAAATTGAATAGCTACAAACCATAAGAAACAGTCAACAATAAAACAAAGGATCGAATAGTCAAAAGAAGATACAGAGAAAACTGAGTCATTCCTTAATGCATCCTGAAGTTCAGCCTTCCTAGCCAACCCACTCCAAATCCTGTGTATCCTTCCATCTAATGGTATCTTGAGTCTGTCTCCATCTACCCTAATACACGGGCCGTTATTTCTCACGTAATGCTGGCAATGACCTTCTGTAAGTAGACTACTGCCAGCTATTCTTGCCACCAGTGATTCTCCTCTCTTGACAAGAGTGGGCTTCTAAAATTCGTGGATGATCCTGCCACTCCTTCCAATACAACTGTTAGTGACTTCCTTCATTTTTTTCCTTTGAGACCCATCAAGTTCACCTTATGAACTTATACTCCACCTCCTCCTTGTCCATACCCTGACATGGCCATCTTTTCAGATCCTGACTTGCCATGTGCCTTCTCCTATGGAGCTTTTACTTGTGTTGTTCCCTCTGTCACCTTTACCCAGCTTTTCTTGGCCTCTCTGACTGCATTGATTACTTCTAGTATAGCACCATGTTCCCATCCTTTTCACAATTTGTCAATGTAGTAGTTTTCTCTTATTTTTTTCTTCCCTGTTTGCACTAGGTTATAAACTACACAAGAGCAGGAAATCTCTGCTTTATTTTTTCAGTCATAGCATCTAACACTATAACGAATGGGATCAACAAGGATTTACTGAAAAAATAAATGTGTGAAAAGATAAAATAAAAAGTAATCAAACAAATAAAAAAATCCCTCAGACTCCAAGTTATATTCCCTGTTTCAAAGACTGGATGCATAATTCAGTTGTATGTAATTAATAATTTCTCTTACACGCTAGGCTATTCATGAATAATATTATTAATATTGTTAAAATCACTTTTACAAATAAGGATATAAACCAGGCATAGTAGCCCACACATGTAATCCCAGCTACTTGGGAGATAGAAACAGGAGGATCACAAGTTCAAGGCCAGCCTGGGCAAAGTTAGTGATATTCTGTCTGAAAAACAAAATAAAAATAAATTTTAAAAAGGGCTGGAAGGCTTAACTCAAGTGACTGAGTGCTTGCCTAGGAAGCACAAGGCCCTGGGACCAATCCCCAATACACACACACACACACACACACAAAGGGTATATAAGATTATTAGTAAATAAAATATAGTCAAGGTCAGTATTACTCTTAGCCATCGTATGAAGTCCTGTTTAACCAGTTGTTTCTCTGAAACAGTAGTTTCAACCCTGAGATCTACTAAGCCCCCTTGATCCTTGACAGCGGTGCAGGAGATATGGAAAGAAAGACAAATCAGTTGTAGCAACTCCTAGAGCTCCCTGAAAGAAAAGGAATAATTTTAAGATATGCAGTTCTGGTAGTTAGGATGGGCCTGGGCGGGGTGATGGAAATGGAGCAACCTCTGGGACCATTCGAAGAAGCAACTTGCTTATAAACCAGGTGACCTGACTGCCTAGGAGAGGTTTGTCATTCTTTCTCTCTATGTATATCCCTTTGAAAGTATGTCACTTAAATAAAGATACAACTTACCCTCCTGAAAGAATACCGTTTTGTTTGGTTTATTTTCCTCCAGGTTATAGAAAACAGTATAGTTTGTGTAGAAGTTTCAGTGTAAAGACTTCATGACAAAGGGAAAAGGATAAAAGTAGATTCAAAGGCAGAAGGATTGGACCAGAAGCCCTCTGAGAACAGAGGAGTAAAGGCAATTTGTGGACAGTGACAAGCATTACTCTCTGGAGAGAAAGCATTCAGAGAGTGAAAAGAAAGGAAGGAATAAAGGAGAAAGCACCAGCCACCTGCCTGGGAGTGAGGACACAATGATCTGCTTTTAGTAGCCAGATTTTCTAACAAACATCCACAGAGTATAGCTCAATAGTCAGGCTACTTGCTTCAGGTAAACCTTTGTAGAGAGAATACTAGTTTTATTTTAGAAAGAATAGTATATCTGGACACCAGGTGCAATTGCTCAAGCCTGTAATCCAAGCTACTTGGGAATCAGAGATTGGGAAGATTGTGGTTTGAAAGCACTCTGGGCAATAATTTGATGAGACCTGATCTCAACCAATGGTTAGAGCATAGTAGTAGGGATGCTTTTTATCTCCAACTACACAGAGAAACACAAATAGGATTGTGGGCCAGGTTGGCCTGGACATACAGTGAGACCCCATTTCAAAAATAACAAACACCAAAGGGCTGGGGCTGGGGCTGAAGTGATAGAGTACCTGCCTAGCAAGTGCCAGGCCCTGAACTAAGCCGCTGGTACTGCCAAATGAAATGACAGAGAGAGAGAGAGAGAGAGAGAGAGAGAGAGAGAGAGAGAGAGAGAAGGGAGGGAGGGAGAAGGAAGGAAGGAAGGAAGAAGGATCGTCTCTCTGAAAAGTCAAGAAAAACCTAAGACCCATAAAATATCAAATTACACAATTACATTGCCATGAGTTAGTTTCATGAAATGAGCTAGTATTCAGTACTTTGAAAAAAAAAAACTTTTATTGTTAAAATTCCAAGAAAGAAGATTATCTGAAATTAAATACAGAATTCTTTCCAAAGAGTTTTGCAAATAACATTCATGCAGTAAGAAGAACAAAAACTCTGATGGGAACACATTTTTCAAGAATTCGTCTCCATCTTCCTTTTCACTCAGGAGGTGGCCTCTTATTTGCAGCTGTTGGATGTAACCAGTGAACCGAATACTTGAAACCAATTTGCTGGTTTGAGAAGAGGTTATTGATTCTCACAGCACGTATATACTTAGAAAATGTCATTGTTTAACACTATAGCCCCAGCCCTTTGGCGTTCGTTATTTTTGGGCTGGGGTCTCACTATATGCCCAGGCCAACCCGGACCACAATCCTATTTGTGTCTCTCTATGTAGCTGGATGACTCTTGCTTCATGTTACTTTAAGCTAAGGCAGACTGAGTTAGGTGTTGGACTATGCTAGCTTTGTCAAAGTCTTCAGAGGAGTTGAAAAACGTTTAACAGGGCTGATCATTGCCTTGAGTCTAAAATACCTGGATATGGTTCTCAGAAAATGTCTGGTTAGGTGAGGGATTTTTTTTTTTAATAAGCATGTGTTTTGTTTTGATAGTGGGTTGAGAAAGAAATTTCTGTGTATTTTGCACAGTACCAAGAAGACAATGGCAGCAACTGATAAAGCACCAAATTAAATAAATACATTTCTGGATCTTGTTTAAAATTATCACTGCTTGAGATGTTAATGACTTGTTTGCAGAATTGCAAATCCTAATCAATGGATTGTTTGTATATTACTGTTACAGTCTTATGATCTAAGTTTGTAATCATGAAACAAGAGGAGGTTTCCTTTATCACTAGTGGACTGGAGAACAGAAGAGATCTAGGCATATGCACACTCACTGAAGAATCTTGTGCATCTGTATTTTTTTTTTTTAGCAAATAAAAATTCCATTAAATAAGTAATGTTCAACTCTTTGGGTGAGTGAAAATGAAAAAAAGCTCAGCACATTTGAGGTCAATATTTTTGCTGAGCATTGTTTAATAACATATGTAAGATAAGGACTGGGGATGTAGCTCCGTTGTAGAGGACTTGCCTAACATGCATAAGGCCCTGGGTTCCATCCCAGCCAAGAAAAGAAAAGAAGAGAACAAAAAGAAAGAATATATGTAAGATGATGGAGGCATATATTGCTTATTAAATCCCTTCAGACTTGGAAATGTGGTTCCCATACCACTCTAACTGCCCACTTCTCCATTTTTTCCCTAGAAATAATACTATTAGTTCAGGGAAGATTCATTCCAGTAGGAAGTCTGCCATTCTGCGTCAATTTGAGCAGTATTGCTAGCAGGAGGAAATTATTTATTATTCCCAATGACCATTCATTCATAAGATAATCATTATAGCAAGTTGGCTCTAAATCCATGACACAGGGGAGGGTTTTAATTTGTGACAAGGAAAGTTTCTTTCTGCTTAATGGGGAGAGATACCTGTGACCCTTACCTGGATTGCTTATGGTGGGAAATTGGTCCTGTGGGCATTTATTGACTTGAACTGAGGAATCTTTCTAACATAGGGAATTATCTTTTAGAAATTAAACTTATTAGGGTTTCATTTAAGGAGACAAAGTGGAAAAAAAATCAAGGTACTGTTTTTCTCAAACATCTGCATCATTGGCTTTGATTATTTTTTTAAACCAACAAGTTATTTCTCTTTTAGGTCCATGTTGACAGGAAAGACTGTCATATGAGCCAGAGAAAGTTATAATGACTCCAAAGGTTCAATCCAAAGGAATGATCAAGGGATAAGGAGATTAGGTGTCTCGATGAACAAGGTAAGAGGCAAGCAAGCCATGCATGATCAGGTAGCATTACGAGAAACACCCAATTTCCTGTTACGATTATGAGCATGTGAAGTTGTCAGACATGTACACCCAGATCATGACTGTGTGTTACAGTTTTCAAAGACTGTGCATCAGGCATACCAGCCATATAAATCATGTAAATTAACTTTTATATTTCCAAAGTGTTACATGCATTTGGTAATTTGAAGGTTGGGACCCTCTAGCAAGTTAGTAATAACATGAAGCCTGAGGAGGTGATTCATCGTCTTTAAGTGACAGGGTCACCTCAGGATTTCACCTACAGCTAAGTCTACATCAGTTTGCCCAGAATTGAAATTCTGAAACACAAGAACAAGGAGGAGCCATTAGTATGAAGGAAGATATGGAGTAAAACCTACCTACCCTGCTTGCTGAAGGGATGAACTAAATTTAGTGGGATGGGGAGAACACTGTTGCAAAATGATATTTTTGCTATATTAACTGACACTTCCCACTGTCTTGCAGGTCCTGTTGCCTCTGTATCTCCCCCCAACCCCCTTTGGGCATCATTTATGGTATCAGGAGAAAAAATGTTTCATCAGAAATCAGAAAAAAAAGGGCTTTGATTCTTAAGTTGAACCTTGAAGGCAGTAGGCATAGAAACTGTTAGATGAGTTGGAGCAAGGCTTCCAGCCCTGGCAGGATGAGAGGTTTCCAGGTATGCTGCTGGGACAGTGAGGGAAAGGCTGGATCACAGGGAGGAAAGAGAGCTGGATGTGCTAGTAGGGAGTTGAGGAGGACAGAAGGACAGGTGGAAGGGTTAAAAGGAAGCAGAGAATACTTGGATGATGATGGCCCCTCTCTGAGAAAAAGACCCCACACCTTGCTCTCTAGAGAGGATAGTGGTGGGTCACAGAAAACAAAGATAGTTGGGGTGGCCATTGGTGCCCAAGTAGAGCCCAAGGCAACTGCAAGATCCCAGAAGAGAAGTGTCTGAGTGGTGTGTAGGGGACCTGGCACAGCATGAAATTGTTAGAATGGGGCTCCTGTGCTCAGAAGTATTACCTGAGTAGTAATGAAGGACTCACAAAATTTCCTGGAAGTGCTGTGACATGAAAGCAGTGTAATCAATCCTCCTGTGCCAGCAGCTGAGAAAGAAGACACCACACCTGAAGAATTCTGGGGAACAGCTCAACGACAAAGACCCAATGGGAGCAAGGACATCTCCGCCAAGACTAGTGCAGAGATAGCATCATGCAGAGAATGAGATATACCTTCCCCCATTGCCAAGCACCAAATAAGCTAGGACCAGTCAAAAGGATGACGATAGTGATATCATGGTTCTGACACCCAGATAGATAAGTTATTATAGAAAAACAAAATTATATTTCTTATACAACTGAATTTTTTGATTGAGATGTGAACTCAAAAGTACTATCAATCAATCAATCAATAAATTAAGAAAAATTTTAGGTATACCTAACAAAAATTATTCAGCTTTTCCTTTCTGGAACTCAGGAGAGTTTCATATATATCCTAACAAAGATCTTGACCACCGTTAAGTAGCTAGATTGCGTGCGGCCTCCTAGCTTCCTGGGTGTAGCTCACATAGCCCTGCTTAGTAAGTGCTGCTCATGTATGGCTGATGGTATCCTGGGAGCTTTCACTGTTTTCCCTCATTTAATCCTTGAAATAATAGCTGTGAGATTAGATGTTATTCCCATTCTACTGATTAGTAAATTTAGGCTCAACAAAGTAAAATTTGAGGGCATCTGAAGAATTGTCCAACATCACTTTTATGAAGGTTAGTCTGACATTTTTGTGAACAAGGCTATGTTCCTCCTTCCTACTTCCCCAAATAGCATTTTCCTTTTACAGCACTTTTTTTTTTTTGTAGGTAGCATCTGGGCTTGAACGCAGGACCTCGTGCTTACTAGGCAAGTGCTCTACCACTTGAGCTATACTGCCAGTCTACATTTCCCTTTTTCTTGTTCCTTATTTGCACCCACCTCTGTGCCTTTGCACAATCTGCTCCTACTTTGTATACTGCTCTGCTTCCCTGTTGTTTTCACCTACCCTGAATTTAGCATTCTGGCCTGGCAGGTATTTTGGTACCTGGTATGTAATAATAAAGCCTTAATACATGTTTAACAAACTAAATTAAACTTAAATTCTAAAACATGTAATGAAACATGAGGCTGATGCCTGAAAGAATGTTTAATTGATTAAACATTGTGATGTTTAATTATGAGAATGTTTAATTGATTAAATACAGATTAAATCAAATGTCTCTGATTCGCCATTACTACTTCTCTTGTTTTTCTCCAGCTTATTTCATTTTAAAATATCAAAACAGTTTAAAGAATTCTTCAGTGAAAAATCATATAATAACCTCCTAGCTTCGATCATATATACTCTATTGTATTTATGTTGCCATATCTGTCCATCTGTCCATCCCTTTATCCAGCCTCACTGACTTCTGAATGTGTCCAGTATTAGAAAGACTTTTGGGGTCAGATCTGGGATTAATTCCTCCATTCAGCCCCCACTTCTTGTGTGGCTTTGGCACTATTGCTTAACCGATGTCTGTTTCACCTTCTGCAACAATGCCTGCTTCATAGAGTGTGGTGAAATGTGGTGAGAATTAAATGTACACACCTTGGTACATGGTGTGTGTTTACATATGGTACCAAGAGGAGAAGGACAGCATAAATATTTCAGCTATCAGAACTGATTTGCAAGGATTACTTTTTCTGGTGGGCTCTCTTTCAGTCTCTGTTTTAGGCCCAGAAGGAAAAAAAAATCACAGACCACAATCAATCTTAGACTTTTCCTTGGGGATGAGCAAGAGGTCCCTGGATCAAAGACATGAGCAAGAGGTGATTTTGGCTTTGTGTGATTGAATTCAGAAATCGCTGGCATAATTAAAAAGCCATAGAGCTAATGGCAGAACCACCAATCATCTGCTTTCACCTAAGCACATTGGGGATCATACCTCTGTTGAAAATTCAGAAGAACTTTGCTAAAAATGGAGGTGATTAGAAGAGAGTGTCAGAGCTTTCTGCTGCCATAAAAATCAGCTCCTGAGCCCCTTCTATGCAGGGATTTGCTTGCTTCCTGAGCATAAACCCTCATTATTACAACTCCATACTCTAAGGAACATCCCCTATCACAGAGCCATCTTTTAATTAGGCTTCAGATCACCTTGGCCATGCAATGGTTCTGCAAAGTTACAGCTGGAGAAAGCAGGAGGAGATCACCTTCTCTGTGGCTTCAAACCAAGCAGCCTTTGGGACACTGGAGGATTGGGTAAAGAAAATCTCATCCGTGCCCACCCCCAGGCCCAGTCCTCATTGCGTCCCTTAGTTAACCATCATGTTGATTATAGGATAGTGTGATTATTGTGGTTTGAATAAAATTGTTTTCCATCCCTATGAATAATTTTCTGTGGCACAGTTACAATTGGGCATCTTAATTTCAAAGTTGTGTTAGTGTGTGCCAATAGAGTTGTCTCTAGACAGACTGGAACATGCCTGATGTCCTCTTCCTGATGGCTTGCAACTTAGATGACTGTCACATTACTCAGTGGACCTCTTTGACAAGTACAAGTGCCTACTCCCCCACTCCCACCACACCCCCAGAGGTCAGCCTGAGAGTCAGTACCACTGTGTGTGGGCATAGCCCACTGAAATCTACATGTAAAGAATCTCTACAAATTATTTCATTTCACAGTCAGGGGTAGGAACTGTCTCTTGACTCTAAAGCTTTGTCGCTCTTCTTAAAATCGACAGTGAGGAATGAAGACTGTTTTCTTTTGAGATGCAATGTCTAGATTGACCTTTTCCTTTTTCTTTTGTTTTCTTTCAGTTGATGGCCCTAAAATGGAAAACTTAGCTGAAATGAAGAGATTATGAATCTTTCCAAAGTAGGGTAGCCTGGGCATAAAATAGAAATAAGGAACAGTACAATTGACCACTAGTGGTGACTCAAATAAATTATGAAGAACTGGGAGAGCTTATCACTGCCAGGTAGGAAAACACAATTGGGTTTATCTGGTACAGGATATAGCCTAGGACAAAAAAGGCAGGTGTGCCAAAGGAATGTCATATTTTATTAATTTCAATATATCCAAAGTTTTACATCTTAACCTCTCAAGTATCTGTGGGCCTGGAAACTTCAACCCCTCAAAGCTTTAGTTAACAAACCATTTACAGATTATTTGGAGAAAAATTAAATCCGAGTTATTTTCTGAGAACTCACTGTTGTCACCTGCTGGTTAGATTTTTTTTTTTTTTAAAGTAACACCATAAAAGCTTTTTGACTGTTAGTTATTTGAATGAAACTTCTGGAGAGAAAAATAGAATGACTTTTTGGGTTTGTTTGTATTATTTTCTTTTTTGGTGGTACTAGAGTTTGAACTCAGGGACTTGCACCAAGTGCTCTACCACTTGAATCATGTCTCCAAACCTTTCTGTGTAGGTTATTTTTGAGACAGGGTCTTGCTTTATGCCTGTCCTGCCTGGACTATGTGCTTCCCTGCTTAGCTGTGGATGGCAGGCACATGTTACTGTGCCCAGCCATTGGTTAAGGTGGGGTCTCATTGATTATTTGCCTAGTTTGACTTCCAATGACAACTCTCCTGGTCTCTGCCTCCCGAATAGCTGGAATTATCGACTTGATCCACCATGCCTAGCCAACAGTTTGGAATGCTTTTAAAATAAATACTGCATTTTTTAATGATCTTTTTAATTTTTATTTATTTTTTGGTGGGATTGGAGTTTGAACTCAGAGCTTCATGCTTGCCAAATAGGGATTCTGCTGCTTGAGCCAACCTCCAGTCCATTTTGCTCCGGTTATTTTGGAGATGGTGTCTCATGAACTATTTTCCCAGTCTGGTGTCAAGTTGAGATCCTCCTGATCTCAGCCTTCTAAGTAGCCAGGATTATGGATGTGAGCCACTGGGTGCCCAGCCTTGATGCTGTTCACAACACTGATGCCAGTATCATATGAGAACTGGGAATGAACATTCCAGTTCTGAATGGAAAAGTCACTCAGGAGACTGAGACTGTAAATGTAGAGAAGTTTGGAGTAGATGTTAAGTGCACTTTTTTCTCTTTTGGTGATACATAATATGGAGCTTTTTACCAAAGCTCTCCCCAGCCTAGGTCTCAGCACAAGTGCAGACCAATGGTGTCTCAGATTCAGTGTAATCTGGTATTTGTGTGGTTCTTTACAAAACAAATATTAAAGATTTTAAACTCCAAACAATACTCTATTTTTAGGACTTCCCAATTAGAATTGATAAGCACATATAAAAGTACAGAGTGAAACACAAATTTGTGTACATCTAACTTCCACAAAGCCCAGCTTGAGAAACTGGGGAGAAAAAAAGAGAAAAACCACCAAGTATTTAAGAAAACAGCATCTTTGAAAAAAAAAAAAGGAAATTATTCCTATTTTATTAGAAAGTTTTGAAGAACTAAGTAGGCAAATGAAGAGAAACAGAGGGAGGTACCCAGAAGGCTTTCAAAAACTCTTTCATATGTTCCATCCTGGGGACATTAGAGGAACAAAGCAAAAGAGTCTATTGAATTGGAATTGGGTGACAGGGGAGGGGAGGCAGTTTTAAGGTTTGGTTTAAGTCCTTCAATTTGTCTCATGGGATTCTAACACCTAGGCAATCAGCCGCCATCTTCCACATCTTGGCCTGCAGCTCCCTGAGAAAACTTCATTTTCTCTACACCTGGATACTGGGTAGAAAGTCTCAGGAACTATAATCCACAATTCCCCTCCCACTTCTACATGCTACCTTTGGATATCTTCAAAAAAGTTTTCACATAAACCTCAGATTGCTTTTCTCCAGATCAAAAATCCCTTTGTTCAAAGATTTATCATCTTGTATTTCTTTGAGACTCTATTCTTCCTTGAGTCTCTTCTCTGCATATCCTGCAATTTGTCCATATTCTTTACACTAATTTTTGTCTATTTTCCAAATTTAATTATCACTAGAAATTCCTTTTTCAAAAGTGTCCTGACTAGAATAATATCACTTATAGTCAACCTGCTCTAAACTGAATGTAATATGAAGCAGTGGGCTGACTAGCAAATGTTAGAGCAGAGCTCTCACCATTCTGTCTGTGTCCTTTATAAGTGCATCTAAATTGAGGCATCACAGACTTGGGTCACACATCCCACTGTTGCTTCATATTGTGCTTGGGGCTCATGGCTGTCTTTCCACACTTGATGCCATGAAACCACAGGTTTGTTCTTAGTAAGTACCATGACACTAGGATTCAATCACTGTCAAGTCTTCCCAGAACTTTGTCATCCAAAACGCTGAATTACTTCTCTCAACTTCATTTATCAGAAGATATCATCTTGCTTTTCTGTATTATTATCAAAATTATTGATTTAAGATATTGCACAGATCAGTGGTGTGGTGCTTTACCTCTTTCCTGTTTGACCTTCATTCACATTGTGCAAGTCATTTGACATTGTAAACTCAATTTCAGTATCATCCAGGCCATATATTTCTGATTTCTGCATGAAAATATCTTAGGAGGCCTTAGCAAATGCCTTTTGAAACTTCAGCTGTCTGATGTAGAACGCCTTCTCCTAATCTATGCTTCTAAATCCTGTACCTAAATAAATACACAAATATGTAAATAAATAAGAAAAGAGAAAAAGTAAATTAAAAACCGAGTTAACTCTGATATTTTCAGTGATTTACTGTCTTTTCTCTTTTAGCCTCCATAGGATGTTGGAAATATCTGGCACATGGAAAAGGTGAGTGTTCGATTAATATTTTTTGATTCAAGCACAATATATCATTAAAAAAAACATGGAAGATCTTACTTATGGCTCTTTTTGGGGGTAGGGAGTCAGTTTCTTGACACCTGTCAAGGACATCTGCTTTGGGAAGTCCTACACACAGCTGAGGTCCACACTAGAGTAGGAACTATTTGTTAATCATGTAAATATTATTGCTGAAGTGAAAACATGATTGAGGCTGGAAGTGAGAACCAAACACAGAAAGTGCCAGCTCTTTAATGTAAGCAATTAATTAGGCATCATCTTTAAGTCTGGTGATAGGTCCCAAAGTGTTAATCAAGTCAAATATCACCAGCTGCTAAGAGAACCGGCTTTCCCTGCACCAAAGGGGAGAAGCAGGTGGCATGGGAATGGATTTTCTGAGCCTCCCATAGCTGACACCTAAGAGAAATTACAAGAAAATGATAGATAGGCACAGCCATGATGGATCAGACAAACAGTATGTTAAGTCAGTATTGAAGTTTTGAAAAAAAATAAATACTAGATATGGAAGCCAGACAAAGCTGAATTCAACTACTGATTTTCCTTTTGCTAACTGTGGAAAATCACAAGAACTGTGTGAGCCTTAGTTTCTTCAGATTTAAAATGGGGGTGACAACACCTACCTGATAGGGTTTTGTAAAGAAGAGAGAGTACATGGGCAGCACCCAGGGCCATTTTAAGCCTTCAGAAAGGATTGACCCTAACACTCTGCAGAAAGCATGTTAGCAATGGTGGTGGCAGTGATTGATTGATTGGGTTCTGGTCTCCACTGGGCTGCTGACTTATCGTCTTTGATCTCTGGCAAACTTTAACCTTTTAGAGCTTGCTCTCCCTCTGTCTGAAAAGGCAAATGTGGACTGGATATTGTTCCAGGTCCAACTGCCTGTCGTTCTCACAAGGATGAGAATTACGGCAGTTTTGTGATAAATACTGTGAGATAGGCATAGTAGAAGTCCACTGACATGAGGGAGGGTGATGCAGTCACCATGGGCAATACCCCACAGGGAGTTCATATTTTCCATTCTAGCCCTCTCCTCCAGAGGAGGCTGGAGGCCAAGGCCACCTGAAGTAAGCAAGCTATCGTCTCCTATCTTCATCACCATACCTGCTTGGCTGTCAGGAGTGGGAGGGACAGCAATATTGAACATGTTTGTTCAAGGGAGGGAGATACTCAGCACTGTGACAAGCATATCTTGAAGGAAAAAGTAAATTTTGGAAGGTAGGGAAGGCCTGTCTCGAACTATTCAGCTCTTTAAAATAACATTTCTTGGGCTGGGATGTGACTCAGTGGTATAGCACCTGCCCACCACACACAATGCCCTGGGTTTGATACCTAGCAACACAAGTTTTTTTTTTCCTTTTTATTATTTGCAAATGAATACATTATTGATGCAGAAAAGGCTATGAATACACAGTATTTAATAGCTACCATCATTAACATTTTTTTTTGTCTTTTTTGTTTTGCTTTTTTTTTCTATTTTTTCCTTTTTTTTTTTTTTTTTTTTTTTTCGGTGCTGGGGACCGAACTCAGGGCCTTACACTTGCCAGGCAAGCGCTCTTCCACTGAGCTAAATCCCCAACCCCTCTATGTCTGTCCTTTCAGTCATTTATATATAAGTATTATTACCCTATCGTACAGCACACTTTCTGGGTATTTTTCCCCTTTCCTCATCAATACTATTTTAAGCTGTCTGACTTCCACTAATAGTAATGGCTTGGTTATTTGGCAGAGGTGTCCAGAATGAGATAGTTACTCCTAAGGCATATGCAAGGCATGCTAGGGGCAGGATAATATTTTAAAATTTGTGGTCATATTTTCACCTCTTGTTTTTTAAATCTTGTGTGTATTTTATAACATGTGAAAATATGTCTGGAGGTAGACAGTCCTGAGCTGAGATGGTGGCCCTGGGGATCATAGCTCCTTCCAACTCTCTGCTCCTCTGCCCTCACATTCAGGCACCACATACAGGCACCAACACTATTGGCTGCTACATGTCTACTTTTTTACATTCACATGCTATCCTGAAATAATAGAAAAAAATGAAGGACAAATGTTTTTCTCCTATTGACATTTTGCTTTTTATTAAAAAAGAGATGCTTTCCTTTTCATTGGTCAAACAAAGGAAGTTAAGAAATTTAAAATTTCAGCTTTTCATCTTGTTTGGCAAGAGAAGTTAAGGGCATGAGTAATTGTGAACTATTTGGGGATAGGCAACCTACAGGGTTTGCCCTTCCTTAGAAATATACATGAACTTACACATACATACACCCACACCCAACTTGCTAAGTAATTTCAGGAGGATTTCCGCCAACATGTATAGAGAGGGGCTATCCACTCCACTGGGCCAAATCGAGGATCACTTCTTGAATGGATGCTCTGCTCAGTGAAAAGCAGGGAACAAGAGGATGAGAGAGAAGAGAAAGTGAAAAGATATAAATGGGAGTGGTGGACAGAGAAAGCATAGTGGTCTGAAAGTAATAGCTAGCAGATATTATAATAACAGTGAAAAGAAAAATACAATGACAGAGCGAAGTGAGTGGATTTCTACTATGTCTGTCTCACACCACATATCACTTATATTTGATACTCTCTATCAGACTTCAAATCTTCACAATACTGCCACGTCGTATTAAATTAGATATTTTAAGTAATTTCTAGTTTATCATGCTAACTTGTAGTTATTTCCCTACAGATTTGTTAAGAAGTGATTACAACATTTGTGAATATATGAGTTGTTAATTATATACATATAACCAGCAAAATAATTAGTATAGTCTCCAAATCCATACTGTAGGATGTTTGACAAATGTTTCCTACATGGAAAAATCTTAGATTCCACAGTATGTTTGCCCTATTGGTAATGGAAAAAGCAAAAGGATTTTAAGAGCAATACAGGTATTTGAGCCATGTGTATTTTATCTTTAAGGAACTTGGTGATATCAGAGAAGTTCATATTGGAAAATAAGGTTTTAAAAAAAAATGTGAAAATCATGAAACCACAGAAGAGTTCAGTGATTTATTCAGGGAAACAAATAACCTGATTCTGAAATGCATTTGTGTCCTGAACTGTTCTATAGAAATGATGCCACTAATTAATTTTTATAAAGCAATTCAAGTGATACACAGAAAGTTTTGATGCTTCCACAGGCCCAAAGAGGTAAGCATTTAAAGTGAGTTTAAGATGCTTACCTGTGACTAACTTGAGTGAAACTAAAGTAAAACTTTGTCAATGTTGAGAAAAGACTCACAGGGTATATTCAAGACTTAGGTCAGGAAATAGAATACCTAGTTTGGGATCTTGGTTCCATCCCTCGTTATTTGTGATTACAATAGAGATAACTACTTCACAGGATGTTTTCAAGGATTAAATGAAATATAATCTACATAAGCTTCACCACAGGTAATGGTACAATAAGCATTGTGAATTTTACAGAAACACATGGATAAATGTGTTAGGTTTCCATCACTATGACAGAATATTTGAGTGAATCAACTTAAAGGAGGAAAAGTTTATTTTGGCTCCTGGTTTCACAGATTACAGTCCATACTTGATTGACTCCATTATTTGGGACCTGTAGCAAGGCAAAACATGGTAGTGGAGAGCATGTAGTGAACCAAAGCTACTCTCCTCATGGTGGTTGGGAAGAAAAGAGAGAGGAAGAGAATGCTGTCCCAATATCCCCTAGAAGGGCACACCCTTAATGATCTAACTTCCTTCTAGCAGGCCCCACCTCCTAAAGATTTCACCACTTCCTAATAGTGCCAGAGGCTGGGAACCAACTCTTTTACATATGGGCCTTTGGAGGATATTCAAGATCCAAATTATAGCAATGAATAAACAACTTTTCTCTAATTGTTCTACATATTTTTAATTTCCACATCAGCATTATAAGCTTACCTAGGAATTGGGAACTATTTTCATAGGTAGCTCACTCTGAAATACAGCATTAATTCCTGATAAAGATATTTTTGGAGGCATCAGAATGATGTAATTACAGTAGAAATTATAGTGTAAGACTTGTGGATTTGAATCCACACTTATTGGCTCTGACACCTTAAGAAACTGCCTAATTTCTTTGAGCCTCAGTGTCCTTATCTATAAAATGGGGATTCTGTGCTGCATGGTCTTTGACTTTCACTATAAACCAAACACTTTTCAGAAGACAAAATGGAGTTAAAAGATGATAACATGAAGCATCTTTCCTTACCTAGTACATAATATAATAAACTTCCTGTACAATTATATTCTAATGAAATTTTGAGGAATGTATATGTGAGTGACTTCCTCTTACACAGTCGGACATTAAAGACACTGTGAGAGTCTATTCAAATAGATATAGCAAACACAAACCCTACCCATACCCTCACCAAGACCATGGCAAACATTAGTCCATTATGGCACTTTTACCTACTGAGTTCATACTCAACCTCTCTGTTTTCTCAACAGATTACTGTGGGCCACAGTTGTCATTTGCTTGGTGTTCTATGAAATAAAGCTTATTTTCTATTTTTATTCCAGTAACATGTTTTCAGAAGTGTTTTTTTCTGGGGGATGAAGAATTTATAAGTTTTCAAAAAAACTCCTTCTACTGAAGTTCCAATCAAACTCATAAACGATAACAAATAATTCTCCCTCAGATCCCTGAATAAGCAGGGTGAGTTACAAAAGAGAGGAAGAAGTTGCCTGCCAGTACCCATGACACATTGTTTGTGCCACTTTGGAAGATGCTGCTAAGACAGATGACACTGATAGCTGTAACTTTTTACAAAGAGATTTGCTAGAGTCTGAAGAAATTATTTGAGATGTGGCTTCTTTATTGATTCGGTGAATAATTTGAAAGACAGCCAAGTTACCACCGTCTTGTACATCTTACAACTGGGCACTTTTTTTTTAATCTTAGGAGAAAGATGCAAATGCTAAATGTGAAAATGATTCCCATCTGTTGATTGGTTTATACACATTATATTCTAT